CAATGTACAACAAATATACACTTCACAAAAATAAATTTGGCAATGATTCACAGGCAAGCATAAAGTCTGTCTCCATTGTAGTTATTTCTAAATTTGTTTATGAAAAAGAGTAATAATTGCAGGTTATTTAATATCCATAATTTTGGATTGTCATTTTGTATAGCAATTACTAGTGAGCTCATCCTCCAGTTTTGAGTAACCTGTAAAAATCTTTTGTTGAATCACAAACTGTGATCAAAAAATATAGTTTGAATTGTACAAGCAACAACAATAGTTTATAAGCTAACTGAGCCATCCTGGTTCAATGAGATGAGATAAAAAGTACACAAGACGATATCAAAACAAAAGTTGTATGCATGGAATGATGAAGTCATAAATACTTGATTAAAGATAGCTTGCCAGGCAAGGTAACATATGCCCACTACCGGCTGTCGGAAATGATAGTGGCCTTATAATGAATTTTCAAATGATCTTATAACTTAATATTAAAGATCTTAAATATTTTTATGTCAAGGCAAAACTTCAAAAACAGTATCCCATATTATAATCAAATTCATGAACAAGGTCTCATGAAAAAGGGCAATGACTCCATAACAGGTCATTCGATTGAGATCTGTACTGAGATCTCATCAATAAAAAGATGCAAACTAAGTTTCATCAAGATGGGTTAAAAACTGAATACCTACAAGCCAAATTTAACACGTTTTTTTATTTAGTAAAGGACAATTACTCCAAAACCGTTCATCCAATTGTTACTAATTTCGAACTTGACCAAGATATCAAATACATGCATACCAAGTATCATCAAGATTATATGAAAACTGTAGTCTCTATTGTGCCTACAAGAAATGTGAATGGACGGACCAAGGGACTGGGGCAACAGCAATATAGTTCCACATTTCCATGAGTAGATGACTATTTAGTACTAATTACACTATAGAAATTAGAAAAAAATTCTAAAAGACAAGCTGGTTGGTAAAAGAGAGTCTTCAAAGAGTTTCTTACATTTTAGATATTCTTAGATGTTATTAGTTGATATACCTTTAGAAAGAGACAATTGTAGCTTATTGAAAACTGATAGTCCCATGGAGGTTTTTAAAATTTTTTCCTTAATTTTCTTGCAGATACACGGACATTACAGTCCATCAATACAACAGAGCAATACTCGGATGGGTCACAGTCCACCAATATAACAGTCTAACAGAGCAATAGTCACAGTCCATCCATATAACAGAGTACTACTCAGATGGGTCACAGTCTATCAATCAACAGAACAATACTAGTTTGGTCATGGAAGGATTGAAAGTTAATTGATGTGAGAATAGATTACAAGAAGTTTTCAAAACAGGTTTGTTCACCTCTAATTAAGGTCAATGATATGAAATTAATTATCAATAATTAATCCACTACTGTTGGCACCAGCATTATGATTCCATTTTCAATAGAGGTTATCAAGATTTAATTCAGATTGAAAGTAAATTGTGGTTATAATCTAAATCTAACATGTTTAATGACAGACCACTGACAGCAAACAATAGCATAGACCAATAATAATTATAATTGACATTCACAATATAAAAGATATCATGCGAAGCTAATAATCACTGTATGTATTTCTCTATAAATGAATGAATATTTTCAACAACATTAAACCAGAACAAGTTGTAGTTTCAGCTTTACTAAGGGAAATTACAAAATGGCAATTATTTTCATATAATCTATCATTATTAGTTTTGTATGGCAATATTGATCAATACAAAAAGTAGCAGTTCAAAAAAAGGCTTTTAAGCATATTATGCAGGGGCACTTCAAGCTTCTTCTTGCACAATTCTGATTACCCAACCAATATTTTGTGTTCTTATGTACAAGAAAAGACCACCAAATAATAACAGTTATAACATACCCTGCCTTACCATTTAAAGCAAATAGTATATATTTGATCTTGATGCAAATAAACGATACAAGAAGTGACATTGATACATATACTACAAGCCCTTGATGTTCTGTCAATATTAATAAAATATTGGCAATGGGGAAAAAATAGTGTCAATGTATGTAAAAAAAAGATGGCACGACAGGCACAATGTAAACAAAGCTGTTTATCAGTTTGTGAAAGACTTCTGCTTTACTTTTGTGTTGTTTTTGAACGAAGGACTGTTACTTATGACTCGATGTACTTTTTACTGGAAATCAATAAATCAGTACTAGATAAAAACCACATTTGTCTTTTTTTTGAAAATAGTCAACTTCCATGAGCAAAACATCAGTCCACTGCATAAGTGTTATGGCATTTTCCTCATGGAAGTTGCCTATTTTCCAAATTTTCCGTATTTATGACTATTTATATATATTCTCGACCCCCTAATATGGTGCACTCTTCACTTTAACATGTATCAATGAAAATTTAGAACTGATCCTAAAGACTTCGACTTTGTGTCTCTATTTTTGGAGACCTACATATTGCATAGTTATATGGAATGACCTATCAGGTTATATGCCTGAAAGAACAACTATATAATTATTATATGAAAACATGATCTATATCAAACAATTGATTGATTTACCAACAAACAATAATTGATAATACATGTACCATTAACAATTAATAAATCATGCTTGATTGATACCTGTCAATATGATAGAGATACAGCTAGAGTTGTGGATAAAGAAGAGATCCAGTTTACATATATCTTAAACCAATAACTGATCAATATATTTACTCCACAAGAAAATTCAGAGGCCAATTTTGCCTTTACAGTGCAAGAGCATTGGCAATAAATCATCCATATTGGTAGGTCAATAACCCCAAATCAGAAAAACTTGTTGATGTAAAATCACCAAATTTCCAACACAAGCAAAATCATGGAACTTTACAAAAATTTAGCTGTTTTATTAGTTCCTTAGTAAATATATTTCAGTCTATTCTTCCAAGTTTGAATGTTATTTACTTCCAATCTATCATAAATATGACCTATATTTTCAAAAGGAAATTTCTAATCCATTAACAATAAAATGTTTGCAACAAAGTCATACAAATTCTTCCATTAAAATCCATTTACAGATAATCCTATTGACAGATAATTAGTCTTTTTAAACCAGTATATTTCAATCAAAAAACAATGAGGTATTTAGATTTATGGTGTTTTGCTTGTTTCTGATCCTTTCTTATGGACAAACCAATCAACAATATCGTGACTTTGGAATCTTCCAAGATTTATCAAATAAATGCATCACTGCCACAAAAACTATTTCATTATTTCTTGATGAACCTGGAGTCACAATATCAGAGAGAAGAACTGAATGGTGCAAATAGAACTAGTCCCTGAAGTGACCCTGATAAATATAAAGACACTAAGAAATCTTAGTAAATACCTTTTTTTAATGATGAGAATTCCAGAGACAAAATCTGAAAATTTAAGAAACTATGGATTGAATACTTTTTCGTTAAAGAGGCATTTCAGTTTTTCTTTCTAGGTAAAAAAAATTGTTTCGCTCCAAATTGTGAAAAATTTACACCAAAATTTAGAGAAATATGTCATGTCTCTTATCATATCTGAAAGTTTTTACTTAAAAAATCCAACCATTAATTAACGCCAAAACTATTTCAAAGTTTATGTAAGTTTAAAGTTAGCACACTTTCTGTAAACCCTGATACAGTACTCGAGATTGGTTGGTGCTTCATATTACCAGTAATTAAGGCAATCTTAATATTTAAGTAGTGTTTGACTAATTATCAAACTTATCTAATGTTACATATCATATAAACAACAGGGTTAAGAATTCACCAATTTCAATTCGAGAAAGAATTTTACACATCGATGCGACAAAAATGATCAGAATATTGACGAGCCTTTCAACATTTCTTTTCCTATTTTAGTGACTTACAGTATCACAGCTTGTACTAATTTGCAACTATCAATCAAAGAGACTAAGGGATGAAATACCCTAATTTTTGACTTAAAATAACTGACTGATAAATTTTTCACTATCAAAGCAGGCTTATAAAATGAAGTTTAGTCATAGCACATACTTATTCAAAATCAAGGGAATATTTTGGTATACCCATATATAATAGGCTATTGTTTTAAATAGTAAAAAACAAAAAGGGTTTCAATCCAAATCATTCTTGTATATAGCCGCACTTCAAAATCATTTCAAATAGAACACATTTTCAAATCTGACTTATGTGTTAAGTATTGTGACTGATTGATAAAATCTATACCTACTACAATCACCAACCTATATACTATTATAGTCACTATGATTGAAGATAATGGCCCCAGATAACTGGCCTGTATTTAATGTAATCTACCTCACTTATTACAAAGTGTCAACTTACTGTGGTATTTACCAGAAATGTGTTATCTTGACCAACAGTTTGCTCATTTCATTAATGGCCAAAAATTAGGAGATGCCTAGGCTAAATGGCTTACAGTGGTTTCCCCCCTTTACAAGTTCCTCCCATAGTGGATGTCAACTAAATAGGCATTCCCCTAATCTTAATATTAATCAAAATATTTGTATCATATATTAAAATTACTTAATAAACCTGTCCTTTTTTTTATCTTATATAACACATTAAATGTGCAGGTAGTTAAAAATATTTGTAAAGATCTGCATATATCAAGACAATTGCCAATGCTACCATACAGAAATCTAAACTAGGGATGTTTCAATAATGAAAGAATAACAATGAAAAAGGTTCATTCGGTACAACAATGAACTGAATTGTAGGTGGAGAAAATTGACGCAAACTGTTTATAAAATTAAAAACTATGAAAATCTTACTTTCAAATTAAAATACTGCTGCAAAAGTATCCTTCACCACAAAAATTATTACATTATAAACATGTAACCACTATGGCAAAACCAAAATGTCAACGCCGAGCAACATTACCACATCATTATCATGGATTAAAATAAAGAATTAAAATTAAAATATGAAATCATGAATGAATTTTCGTGAAAATTTCACAGAATTTTTAAAATAAATCACTTACCTGGCTGACCAAAGGAATTAAAGTTTGCTCCACAGATTTAGTCCGAATTTCTAATGTAATGTTGGAATCATTTTTAGACAGTGAGCCTGCCATTTTGCGATGAGGCCAGCCTCACTCTGACAACCATGTGTTGAAACATCGCTTATGAAATTGTTGTCGAAATTTTAGAAAATCTAAAAGTAGGAACGTCATCCCTTTAAATTTGCATTTTAATAAATAAAATCAATAAATTTCAAGTTGACATTCGTTACATTCAATAAATCTATTGAAGAAAACCAATTTGCAACATTGTTTTAAATTGTTTTACTTTGTATGGATATAAGCGACTATATATGACTTTTTACTACCGAAAAATAATATGATTGCCAAATGCCAATTTAAAGGAGGTTGATTTCAAATTGTCAATAAAAAATAAAAGATCTCTCAATGAGATCATTGTTCCAGGAAAACGCATTGTTTTCTGATTTGAATTGAAATACTATTAGGTATTGCAACATTGATCATTCCGCTTATCTATGATATATGATATAGCTTCATGTCATTGTAAAACATTCAAGGGACGGATGTGGTATTTTGGGGGGTTGGTTTTAGTCTTGAAAATATGTAAATAGTCTTCAGGAGTACTAGAAATGTACGAAAATCGCATAATTAATTCAAGAATATCTCAAAATAGGAATTTTACTCACTATTTTCATATTACGTCTTTTCTACATAATTATCACCGAGCATGTTCCGTCATTTTAACATTCAAATGCGGATAATTCTGGACAGACATGGATTTGAAGGCTCAAATTTGAGCGGTGAGCTGTGAACACTACTAATGATTGTTAAAAATTCCCATTTCTGAGACTAAAGTATAATTAAAGTGTAAATATCAGATCAGCATTGACCCTATTAACACATCCAACAAGTTTATTGTAGATGAAAATATTATAAACAACATTTAAGCTATTTCCTTCTATATATATCTATATAAAGCAGGTCTTTATTAGACTATAACTTATTTTATGCTATCGACGCCTATTTCGGATGCAAATCCTCTTCTATACGGTACTTTTGGTAAAAAGCAAGCGACCTAGCTGTTTATGCGTAAAAATGATAATGTGTGAGACCAATCAGTGACCCTTTTCAGTGCTTTATATCCATAGCAGATGTAAAGTGACACTGTATGTATTGATGATGTGTGGGATAGTCTATGGGAAAGGGAAGTGGGTCAGTGGTCAAGGGATGTATGGAATGACCGCACACATGTTAATGGAAACAAACTCCGGTCATACCGCATGTACAAAACTGAATTCGGAACAGAACCGTATGTCAAAATTATTAAAAATAGAGCTCACAGACGCGTGTTGTCCAAACTTAGAGCGGGTTCACTCCCTTTGAGAATTGAAACTGGAAGATTTGTTAGACCTCCCGAACCTCTCTGCTTAAGGAAGTGTCTTTTATGTCATAATGGAGAAATTGAAAATGAGGAGCATTTTATTTTTAACTGTAAATTATACACTGATATAAGAAAAGTTTTATGTACCGAAGCCTGTTTTATTAATCCAGATTTTTTATTTTATAATAATGTAAATAAATTGTGTTTTTTAATGACAAACGAACGAATTTTACCATATTTTGCCTCATGTATTTTTAAAATGTTTGAACGTAGAAAACAGACTGTGATACCCTGAGCCTTTTTATTTATCATAATGTTTATTTTACTTGTATATTTGTGTTTTACCTGTCTCATTGAATGTAGTTTTATGATATAATTCTAAGGTGTCTCATAAGTCGAAGCCGGCTGGCGTCCATTTTATAATGCTGTAATTATTTTATTGTTGTTATTCTCTGTATATATGGACGGTGACACTTAAATAAAAAAAAATTTATTATTATTATTATTATTGTAAAATGGATAAAAGAAGAACTTGACAGAAGAAGAACGAAGTGTCCAGACACAGAAGACGACACATCTAGAAGAAGAAGAAAATACTAGGAAAAAAGGCTAGATCGTGTCTTTAATTTCCAACTAGTCGGCGCTTTCTGCAATCTTCGGTAGTCAAAAGTCATTTGGTCGGCGGTGACATCAAAGGTGAAAGTTCATCGATCCATGACCGAGTAAAGACGGGTACACACGACTGTTCAACACCTGTCAAAATCTCGACAGGCAACACGGCAATTATTATTAAAAATGGATTTATTAAAAATTGAGCGATGAAATAAGATGCTGTGGTCAGGGGAAAGGAAATCCTCCTCGAGCCTGACAGACGTTATTCCTAAGAAGGTGAGTAACAGCGAGAATTTATTTATGCGTTGAATTTATTAAAGCGCTCTGCAAATGTTGTCATATTTGCGTAACATTAAAAGAACAAATATAACCTTTTTTTTGTTTTCTACTGACTTAAGACATAGATTTTGCGAGATAAATAGAAATTCTTATGCCGTTTTGTTTTTTATTCAGCTGTCAAAATGTTAATTCATGTACAGTGTATCATTTTGAACTGTATTTTGTAACATCATATGGGGGCGTTTCTCGGTTGCCAGCCATAAAAAGTCTATGAAGTAAATGATAAGTCAACGTTCAGAGAGGCCAGTGGCTGGTACTGTGTGGCTGGTCAATGTAGTTGTTTTGAGTTGTGACTATTGTCTTCTTCTTGATATTTTGTAGTTATTTGTGTCAATATAGATAAAGAAATGATCAAAGAGTTTTGTTTGAGTAATTGTCAAGTTTAGAATAGAAAAATATGGAGGAACCATAAAAGGGCACTTGTCATCACCATAGACCTTGATATGCTTGAATATTTTCTTGCTCTGGCAAACTGCGTTTTCAATGACCTTTAAGGACAGAAGCAGACAGATTGCGAGTGTTAAAACATTGACAGTAAAATCTCTCTCATTTGATAAAACAAGAACCCTGTCATAAGCATAAGGAATGGTGGAAACTAATTATGTCAAGTTGTTCTATAAACCAGGTAGCCTATATGATATATCACATATTGTTATAGAAATATGACACATGAATAATTACTGTATAGACTTTCAAATAAGATTTATAATTTGATTATACACTGCTAATTTTGCAATTTTTGCATTGATTTTTAAAGGAAACCTCACCCAAAAAATTTCTGGCAAAACTATTTGTTACAAGACAGTTTCTAGGAAAAACTTTCTAGGAAATCTAGTTGAGGGCCGAGCAGGGGCCACAAAATTTTCCATAGGGGGTCACAATGTAAATTGATAACAATAGAGAAAGTAGGTGGGCCAAAGCCAAAAATGTATCAAAATCTATATTTTTTTTATTTTGTACAAAGCCTAGCACTGTAAATGAATCTGCTGAACTGAGAAGGTTTTGCTGGGCTTAATTCTCGCTTGCTTCACCCTAATGACGGAGCTGCATACAGATAATAATATATCTCTGAGGCTATTCTCAAGTCAAGTCCGAGTCAATGTTAAGCTTTAAATTATAATGTATATCTCATTTGAACAGGCAGAGGGGCACCAAAGACACTAGTATAACCATATAAAAGGAGATAAAAGTAACTTATAGCAGTACCGTATCTTTAAGACATGATTTTTTGTCCAGGGGTATAAGCTGTTAATTATGATTAAATCATACTGACATTTTTTAGACATATAAGGTTACATACAAAGGTTACCTCATTTCTTATATATATTGTATAATTTGTGTAATAAATAATAAATAAGTGAAAATGGCTTTTGGATTAGTGTTTTTCATGATGCTGCATTGATTGGTGTATAATAAATAGTTATTTGAGAATATGCTGTTAATTAAATTCCACAGCTGGCCGATGCCGAGAGTAATGGCCAGTTGGAGTGTTGTGGGAGAAGCGTGGTTGGTGGCGTAGAAGCTGGCATTGGTTTGAGCAAGTTCTGTTTGTGGAGTCAGCCCTCAGTTTATTAGCTTGAAATATCCATAGGGTATCTTCTGAGGGTATAGTATTGGATGAAGCCAAGGGCATGTTATTGGTTGTCTGCCCCTGAAGAGTTCACTCAAGAACAAAACCGGTCGGGCTACCATACCTAAGAAAGGGTTTTTTAAGGAAGTCACTATTTCCATCTTAAAATATATCTATATCTTTATATTTCGACATGGAATTCTACAATCTAATACACAATTCTTTTTTTTATGAAACTTCTTCTGGATAGGTTTTTGTGTTTAAGAAGAAATAAGAGAAGCTTATGAAAATAAAGATGCCTAAAATGATAACATGTTAGGTAAGACTTGACCTTGAAATTACTGACAAGGCCTTATTTCATGCTGACATGAAAAGGTACAAATTCTCATCAGGGCCTCCCAACTAAGGCAAGTGAGCAAGATGTGCAAACTCAAAAGATTATTTTGTAATTTCACGAACGTATATGAATAAACAGAATTTGACATCATTTCTATTTCTAAATCGCCAGATTTTCTTATTGGGTGGGAATTCATCTTTAAAATAGCTCTAAATAGTACACATATAATATACACACATATATAATGTTTCTTGCATGCTTTCTTGACTATTCAATTCAAGTGGTTATTTATAGGTTTTGAAAATTGATATGAATATTCGTATAGACTCAATCAGTTTATTTACAGATCTTCTTTTCTTCTTTATGTCAATACAGAAATAATGTAGTGAAATAGGTCTCTATAGATTACTGTAATAAATACTATATAAAATATTTTAAATCTACCCAGGGTTGTGGATATAATAATATTAATTGTAAAATTTGTGATGAGGTATATTTGAAGGATTATTTTATCTTAGATATTTAACTTGTACGTAAGATGTAAGTTTGAGGCTTGGCATGATGTTGTCCAGACGGGTCAATAAACCATGGTGCTTATGTGGTCGCCTGTTTTACGTTAAAGATGCCTCAGCAGTATGAAATAGAAAAAGAGTAGCTTATGCTACTCTCCAAAAATCTTCATCAATGTATACTACTGCATGACATTGCCCTGCATGGGGAGCTGCGGTGGCTCAGTGAGTTAGACGCTTGATCGCTAACCTGAAGGTCCAGGGTTCAATCCTTGCATAGGTCGAGATAATACCTTTGGATTTTTCAACTCGGTTTCCTGCTGTCAGTGATGCAGGTAAGAGGGG